CTATAGATAAATTTACTTGTTACCCTTCACGGCTGCAGAAACAGCTGATTTTTGAATTTTCCGCTCTCAAAACGCAGAGGCATCGGCGCGTTGCCCCTTTATGTGCAAGCATTTTTGTTGTCTTGTGTTAGAATCGACTATAATTGCTCTTTCATTGATAGCATTTGTTTTTCTTCTTAAAGCGGGGTTTGATGACAAGTCTGCATACGCACAATGTATTTTCGCGTTCACCGAAGGATTAGGTCAACCTGTGCACATATTTAGAGGTGAAATATTTTCCTCCATTATTGTGGTCTCTCTTCATAGCCATATTGTAGGTAGATGTCCTGGTCGTATTGTTTATCCACGTGGTCCTCCTGACTTTGGTTGGGACCCGTGCTTCCAGGTATGTCGTATACTGTTTATTTAGACATTTATTAATAAATAAGTAATTGTAGCCCGATGGATTTCTGGAAACGTTTGCTGAAATGAAAAAGGAGACAAAAAACAAAATAAGCCATCGAGCGAAAGCCCTCGAACTTGTAAAGAAGTTTTTTGATGGAAGGAATTAGCCATTTTTCTAGGCCTCTAATGTGTATTCTTAGGGAGTCGATGTCAACTTATGATTATCACCATTATCAAATTTCACTTTGTTTATCAATACACTTTACACTTCGTTAGTAAATAATTTCATCCTTCTTATCTTCGTCATTAGTCAAGCATGTTGTGCATGAGATATCTCCTAAATTTGAATGTCGGAGAACTGACACCACAGGGACAGCTTGTACGTTAGATTGTAACTATTGAACTATGCTCTATCTCTTTGTGTATCCTGAAACTGCAAGAGGAAGGGAAATGATGGCAAGAATATCAAGTAAAACTTTTTAACCTGCAATCTTGCAATACTGTTGGCTTCTCATAGCAAGTACATAATTTCAATGTGCCTCGTTTTCGTGAAATAATACACCATGTGTGCACTAAAGCAAAACAGCTACATTCAGTAATATAAATACAACACTAGTGGAAGTAATGTCATATATGTGATAATGGGTATCAAATATTTGGTAGTAATTGAATACATCTGTTAATGCATGTAAACAGCAATCTAATACATCGTTGTACTGTCGTTTACCTACTTCTACTGCAACTGTTATTCATTGCAACAACGATTCGCTCTCCTGTAGTAATTAATAAGGGTTAAGAAAGCTATAGAGTCTGTCTGTCAAAACTTGTAATGGTTCAGCCATTAATCGAATTGTTGGTGATCGCGAAAGTTCTCTTTGTCTCAACCGTGACGATCTTTTGATTTCCCTTCTGCCGCATTAATAATGTCTTTATTCGTATCTGGTAGAATTTTTAGAAGAAAATTATGCGTAATCTGTTTACGAATATTTCCAGTGGAGTGTCGCTT